CGCGCTGCTGGCTTCCGCAGCCCCCGAGGGCCGCCCCGAGGTCGGATGCCATGGCGGTCATGTGGTGCAATCGCCCCGCTGACGGTCTCCTCGGGGGGCGCCTCTACCTGGATGGGTCGGCGCTCGACCCCGAGCACGAGAGCCTACGGCGTGCGGGTTGGAGCATCGTGCAGTGCGACTCCGACGGCAACATGGAGTGCGCGGTGTACGGCAGCGTGCGCCAAGACCTCTGCCCTTTCCAGACGGCGAAGGACGGCGAGGATTTCGCGGTCTGGATGCTTTCTCGCTTCCTGGGCCCGAGTGTGGACGAGATCCTCATCGATTGTGCGTCTACGGTCAGCTGCCTCACGTTGGGCAAGAGGTACGCGACGGCAGCCAACAAGCCCAATGCCCATCTCTGGGAGGGGATCTACGCTTCGCTGGACGTGGACATGCTCAAGGTTACCAAAGTGGCGGCCCACTGCACCGCCAGAGACGTGATGGATGGCAAGATCACGGAGTCGGACCTTCGCGGCAACGGTCATGCTGACCGCTGGGCCAAGGCAGGTGCGGGGCTGCACCGCGCCAGCCCCGTGGCCAGGCGCGAGTTCTTCGGCACGATGGAGGTGGTGAGGGAGCTCTCATGCTGGGTGGCGCAAGCCTCCCTCATCTGGCAGGGGATCGAGGTCAAGGACTGCGAGGGCCTACCCGAGGGCAGCGAGCGGATGGCTGTCTCCTTCGCCGTGCCCGTGGTGGAGCCCGCCAGCAGCCGCCCGTCCGACTCGGGTTCGGGCGACGGGTGGGCGTCGGCGGCGCGCGCTGGTGGCGTATCCCTCGGTGCGACGGCCTTCGTCGTCGCTGGCCACGTCCTGGCCTTCGCCAGGTGCGGGGAGGGCGCCGCCGAGCAGGAGCTGATGGCGTGCACCCACTGCGGGGCGTACGCGCGGCTGGGCGGACGCTCAGGCGCGGCGCCCAAGCTCAAGGAGCAATGCCCAGGGTCTTCTGGGCTTCCCAAGGGCAGGCGAGACCAGAAGGCGCGCTGGCTGCAGGGGCGGCATCCTGCTGGCACGCCCCACAGCGGCAGCAAGCGGGTCGGCGCGACAGTGCCCAGCCTGCGCAAGGAGGACGTGGTGCCGATGGACGCCAGGGTGCGCTTCCTGCAGTGGCTGGGGGTCCGCCCCGAGGATGCCCCTGGCGGCGAGGCCGCCGGCGCCAGCAGCGGGCCCCCCAGCGGCGCGGCGGCCGCTGGCGAGGAGGCGGCAGAGCCGTTGGCGCCTGGCCCCGCGGGGGCCTCGAGGGAGGCATGGCTGAGCGCCTACGGACTTGACGAGGCGAGCCTCCTCGAGTGGTCAGCCGCGGCTGAGACGGCGCGCGAGGACAGGCGCAAGAGGCGCCGCCGTGCTGATGATGACGAGGGGGAGTGATGCAGCATCATCTTCTTCTTCCTGTTGTGTCCGCCCCCCTCGTCTTCTTCTTACTGTGAGTGCGTGAGGCAGCAACTTCTGCCCCGCGCCTCTTTTGCAGCGAGGAGGGCTTGTTGGGCGTGCTTGCGCGCCTCGGCCCCTGCTGCCTTCTTGATTTCTTTGAAATCGTGCGCTTCGCGCGTCTGGCGCTTCGCGCCCTCCCCTGCGGTGGCTCCTTAGGGGCCCCTAGGTTTGGCCCTTGAGGCCCTGGGGCCAACGGGCTCCGCGGGCCTCGGGCTCCTTTTAGCCTTCACAGGCCCCGCAGCTCACAGCTCACACAAGAGCACGGCAGACCATACAGGAGCACGCCAGACCACACAGGAGCACGGCAGACCACACGTTCGCACGGCAAACTCCACAGGAGCACGGCAGACCCCAAAGGAGCACGGCAGTGGTACGTGGCACTGCTGTGGTATGCCGTACTAAAAACGTGGAATATCTCATAAGCCCAGGGGACAAAAGGACGCTTCCCGTTCTTGTCCGGTCAGGTTTCTAAATTGGCCGTTTCGCTCGGGACATCCTCTAAAACATGGAGTTGGCATTGGCTCCAGGTCGCCTTTGTGTTCAGATCGCTCTTGGAGCGGCCAAGACGGTCCGTAGAAGGCCACAGGACGGCTCCAGAGGGCCCGCATGACGGCCCCAGAGGCCTCCAAGAACACTCCCAAGAGGGCCCAAGACGCCAGAATCGTCCGATTCCTATGGGGAAGCGGGGAAGCGTATATTTTTTTAATATTTTTTATTATCTACGATTTTCTCATCTTTACGGCGTCGATGACGGTCCAAGAGTCCCCCAAGACCGCCCCGCGACGGCCCAAGAGACTCTCAAGAGGCGCCTAAGACGGCCGAAGAGGGCGCCAAGACGGCCCAAGAGGCTCCCAAGAAGGCCCACGAGGGCCCCAATAGGGGCCCAAGAGGGAGAGCCCGAATCGAACATCAGAGCATCCCGCCCAAAAACGGCCCTAGGAGGCCCCAGGAGGCGCCCAAAAGGTCCCAAGAGGCCCCCGAGAGACCCCCAAGACACCCCAAAAGGCCCCCAAGAGGCCCAACAGAGGCCCCAAGAGGACCCAAGACGGCCCGCGAGAAGCCTCCCAAGAGAGCCCGACGAACTATCACTTCGTCTCGTTCTCAATACCCCGGCACGGTGGCGGGATGGACCGAAGGTCACTAGATCCGCCGCCCCCTGCTTGCAGGGGTGCACGGCGTGCTGGATGTTTCAGGTTTTGGTTTTGGTTCTTTTTCCAAAAGAACTCCCCAGTGGGCTCCGGCAGAACCCGCCGGCCACCCGGACGGCCCCCAAACGTGCTCAACGACCGGAAAAAATCCTCCAAACAACGGCCGTTTCGCTCGGGACATCCTCAAAAAATCGCGAAGATGGCCCAAGATGGCCTCCAAGTCCGCCCGAGATGGTCCAAGACGGCCTCCAAAACGGCCCAAGAGAGTCCAAGACGGCCCAAGACGGCCCAAGAGGCCCCCCAGAGGCCTCCCAGACGGCCCAAGAGGCCTCCAAGAGGTCCTCCAGGAGAGTCCGAAGAGGCCAAAATCATTGATTTTTCCTTGGTTTTTGAAGGATTCTGGCATTTGCGCCTTTTCGGCTCTCCGACGGCTCGAGACGGCCCAAGAAGCCCCCAAGATCGCCCAAGAGGCCCCCAAGAGAGCCCCATGATGGCCCAAGTGGCCTCCAAGATGGCCCCTAGAGGGCCCCAAGAGGGCCCAAGAGGCCTCCAACACGCCCAAGATGGCCTCCCAGACGCCCAAGATGGCCTCCAAGACGGCCCTGGAGCATTCCAAGCGGGCCCCAAGTCGGCCCATAGAGGCCCCCCAAACGGCTTCCGACGGCTTCAGACGTGCCAGGAACCCACCAAGATGGCCGAAGTTGGCTCGAAGCTGGCCCGAGACGGCCCAAAAAGCCCCAAAGATCGCCCAAAGCTTGCCCAAGAGGCCTCCAAGACGGCCAAGATGACCTTCAAGATGCCCACGTGTTCCCCGAAGGCTTTCCAAACCGATTCGGGGAACACGTGGTCCGATAGCTTGGCAGGTCTGGCCTCAACGTTCGGCCACATAGGCGCTTCCAAAAAGGCAGGGGGCGGCGGTGATTCGCCGTAGGCGTCTTCGATCCGCCGCCCCCTGCTTGCAGGGGTGCACGGCGTGCTGGATGATTCAGTTTTGGTTTTGGTTCTTTTTCTAAAAGAACTCCCCAGTGGGCTTCGGCCCGTCCCGCCGGCCACCCGTAAATTTCCCAAAATGCGTCTGTCAATGCCTTTGTTGCCCCAACTTGGCCCAAGATGGCCTCCAAGACGGCCAAGATGGCCCAAGATGGCCTCCAAGATGCTTCCAAGACGGCCACGATGGCCTCCAAGACGGGTAAGATGGCTCCAAGATGCCTCCAAGACGGCCCAAGATGCCCTCCAAGACGGCCAAGATGGCCCCAAGATGCCTCCAAGATGGCCCACGAGGCCTCCAAGACGTTCTCCAGGAGAGCCCGAAGAGGCCAAAATCATTGGTTTTCCTTAGGTTTTCGAAGGTTTTTTGCGTTTTCATCTTTTCGGCCTTCCGACGGCCCAAGAGGCCCCCAAGATCGCCCAAGAGGCCTCCAAGAAGGCCCTATGACGGCCCAAGGGCCCCCCAAGACGGCCCCAAGAGCGCCCCAAGACGGCCCAAGAGGCCTCCAAGACGCCCAACATGGCCTCCAAGACGGCCCTGAAGCGCCCCAAGAGGGCCCCAAGACGGCCCAGAGAGGCCCCCAAGACGGCTCCAGACGGCGTCAGACGGACCAGGAACGCCCTAAGACGGCCAAAGAGACCCCCAGGAAGCCCCCAAAGGCCCCCAAGAGGCCCAAGGAGGCCCCCAAGATGCCTCCAAGAGGCCTCGAAGAGGCCCCCAAGAAGCTCCCAACAGACCCCAAGGGTGCCCCAAGAGACTCCTAACAACCCTCATCCTCCTACTCTATTTCTTCCTCTTCCTCTTCCTGTTCACAATCATTCTCTCCCATGTGTTCCCCGAAAGCTTTCCAAACCGACTCGGGGAACTCATGGTCCGATAGCTTGGCCAAGCTCTAGTCCAACTTTCGGCCACATGGGCGTTTCCAAAAAGGCAGGGGGCGGCGGTGATTCGCCGTAGGCGTCTTCGATACTCTATCTCCTTATCCCGAACTCGGGCTACACAGCCCCAAGACAGCTCAAGAGGGCCCGAAAACGGCGCCAGAGGGATCCAAGAGGGCTTACTGTTACAGGCCTCTTGGACCGTCTTGGGGTTATCTCCGGTCGTATTCAAAATATAATGGGCCGTCTTGGAGCATCTTGGAGTGGCTGGAGACGGCCGGAGGCATCCTGGGCATTTCTGGGAGGGGTGAGGGATCTAGTGCGTTTAACCGGATCCCCCCCCCTGCAAGCCGGCCGGACCGAGTGCCCGAGTAATTTGACAATGGGTACCAGCAATTTGTTCGCACAAGCGTTCCAGTTTTGACGTCCCCATGTGATGCCACACTTGCAGCGAACGTTCGAACATTCGCTTCCCGTTCTTGTCAGGTCAGGTTCATACCCCCATGCGTCCATGCCCCAGGTCGGGAGCACCAGCAGCCACGTCGCCATCAGCACGGCAAGCAGGAAGCGAGCGCGAGCCATACGGACAGCTTATTGATACGGAGATAGATCGGGGAACTCCCCAATATCGATGAGAAGTTCGGTCAAATGCACCTAGTTAAAATGCCACTCGAGCCTATGCAAATCCGGATATACGACATCAGGATCGCATGACGTGCACGTCAACGGGCGCTCGACCACCAGAGGAGGGCAGAATGTGCTTCCTTTGGTTTAAGATCTGGTCTGCAGCACGGTGGACTGCGGTCAAGACTCCTTCGAAGACGGAAGACGATACTGCAAATGACGACGAGAGGAGAAAACTGCTTCGCACGAGTGGCACCTGTTACTCGCAGTGCAATAATACTACAGAGTGCGACCGAGACCATGTATCTTACTGTGTGATTGATGTGTGCGCAAACCTTGCCACGTGCGGTACCTAGCCCCACACACAACGCCATCGACTTTCAGATCGCCGACGAACGTCTCGTGCTCCTCCTCCCCCGCCCCAGCCGCCGCCCCACCACCAGGAACAGATCCGCCACCCCCACCGCCACCGCCACCGCCAAAGGAAGGAGGAGGAGGGCAAAGACCAGGAGGAGGAGGAGGAGGAATGGCAACACACTTCCAGTGAGACCTCAAAATCCCCACATCGACCCAAACGAACTCTTCCCCGCAGCTTTCGTTCGTGAACAGCAGGAGCGCACGGAACTCTATGCCCAATGCTTCCAAATCAGAACATAATTGATGAATCCAAGGGTGCGCACGAGGATTGACCGTGCCGTCGGGCGCCACGGGGGCTCGGGCCTCGTCAAAGGGAAGCTCGCCGAAGAATACGGCCAGCAATGGCACAACATCCTGGGGAAACCGAGCGATAGTCTGCCACCAGCGAAGACGTGCCTGCCCCAATTCTAGAGACACCGGTACCAGCCGGAGAGCCTTGAACACAGCATCGTTGGTCCAGCACGTTCGAACCAGTCTGCCATGAGGCGCCGTATGCATAGAGAAGGCTGCTCCACGGAGAGCTGCGCGAGCCATCTTGGCCCTAGCAGCATCTAAAGCATTGCAATCTGCCGAAGAAGCGACCCGCGATCGCCCACCCTAGGGGCTGGCGAGAGGGTGGCGCCCTGCCGGGCTCCCGCCCGCCGGGCGGTCGGACGGACCACGGCCGCCACCTATGGGAGCGGGGGGCGCCGCCGCCGCGGTGGTCGCCGGGCGCCGCTCTGGCGACCGCTGCCGCCGGCTCTTGTCGGAGCAGTTATTCCTCAGTCGTTTGCGCAGGCCTGCGCCGTATCGGCGTGGCTGGCCAAGAGGAGGAGGAGGAGGAGGAGGAGGAGGAGGAGGAGGAGGAGGAGGGGAGGAGGAGGAGGGGAGGAGGAGGAGGTGGAGGAGGGGAGTGAGGAGGAGGAGGGGAGGAGGAGGAGGAGGAGGAGGAGGAGGAGGAGGAGGAGGAGGAGGAGGAGGAGGAGGAGGTGGAGGAGGAGGAGGAGGAGGAGGAGGAGGCGGAGGAGGACGGAGGAGGAGGAGGAGGAGGCGGAGGAGGGGAGGAGAGAGGAGGAGGAGGAGGAGGGGGGGGAGGAGGAGGAGTAGGAGAGGAGCAGGAGCAGGAGGAGGAGGAGGAGGAGGAGGAGGAGGAGGAGGAGGAGGAGAGGAGGAGGAGGAGGAGGAGGAGGAGGAGGAGGGAGGGAGGAGGAGGAGGAGGGGGAGGGGGGAGGGGGAGGGGGAGGGGGAGGGGGAGGGGGAGGGGGAGGGGGAGGGGGAGGGGGAGGGGGAGGGGGAGGAGGAGGAGGAGGAGGAGGAGAGGAGGAGGGGGGAGGAGGACACGAAGGAGGAGGCGAGGAGGAGGAGGCGGGGGGGGAGGAGGAGGAGGAGGAGGAGGAGGAGGAGGAGGTGGAGGAGGAGGAGGAGGAGGAGGAGGAGGAGGGAGGGAGGAGGAGGAGGAGGAGGAGGAGGAGGAGAGGAGGAGGAGGGGAGGAGGAGGGGGAGGAGGAGGAGGAGGAGGAGGCGGGGGAGGAAGGAGGAGGAGGAGGAGGAGGAGGAGCAGGAGGAGGAGGAAGGGAGCAGGAGGAGGCGGAGGAGGTTGAGGTGGAGGTGGAGGAGGAGGAGGAGGGGATGAGGAGGAGGAGGAGGAGGAGCAGGAGGAGGAGGAGGGAGCAGGAGGAGGCGGAGGAGGTTGAGGTGGAGGAGGAGGAGGATGAGGAGGAGTCGAGGGAGGAGGAGGAGGAAGCGGAGGAGGATGAGGAGGAGGAGGGCCTTGTGGCACGAGTTCCAAAAGTGCGCCCTCCCCACCCCCTGGCCGCGCCACTCGTGGGGCCTGCTCCTGCCTTCTCCTCTTGAGCGCAGTGGCCCCGCGGACAGCCCCCCTCTGGCCAGACTTGCTGGCCTTGGCCCGACCTCCCCCGATGCGTCTCGGGGGTCCACGAGGAATATTAAAAAAATACAAAAAATAGTCCGTGGACGATGTCTTGACTATTTCCGACTATTTCCGACTATCGTTTGAGTATTTTTGATTGTTTCGTCCAAAATCTGCCTGTAGGGGGACATGCCCGACCTGACCGTCGCTCTCGCTTCAGAGGACTGTCTTCGGCCTTCTCGCTGACGCTTCGGGATGCCCCGCTGCGTTCGGACTCCTCCTTTTGTGACGGTCACGCGGCCGACGTGTACAGGGATGGTTTCGGTCTTTCGTTGACATTTCTAGATTCGTTTCATGCGTTCTGTCTCCTCCTGCTGTGACGATCCCGCGGCCGCCGTGTCCCCCATGGTATCGTTGGCCAGCCAAGGTTGCCACGGCAAGGACATGGTCAGGGGAAGATCGCAAGAGGGAGGAGGAGGCGGAAGAAGGAGAAGGAAGGAGGAGACCGAGGGCGACGACGACAATGACGGCGACGAAGATGACGTCTACGATGGAGATCAGATTGTCAAGGCGAACGATTGGGAGGAGGGTTTGCGACGAGTTGGAGGACGACCATGAAGAGGCTGACAAGATTCTGAGGACAACGCGGACGAGGACGAGGAGGGTAGTGGACGATGGCCCGCCAGGATGAGGAGGGAAGGAGGATCGACAGGATGAGCAGGACGAGGTGGAGAGGGAGAATGACGATAAGGCCGAGTACCGAGAGAAGGAGCAGGAGCAGCAGGACGAAACGCAGCGAATGAAGCGACGCTATGAAGTGCGAGGTCGGGGGAAGGAAGAAGGAAGGAGGTTTGGGGCCCAGAGGTTGGATGGAGCAGGGATGTAGAAGGGAGGACTGATAGAAGGAGGGAGGAGGCAGGGAGGGTTTGGGGAGCAGGGAAGGTACGGAGGGGCAGAAGAGGAGAAACGAGTGGCGAGGACGATGGCGGAGGAGGGACTCGGAAGGTGGAGGAGGAAGCGGAGGAGGAGGAGGAGGAGATCGGCAGGAGATCGGCATGAGCAGTATGCAATCGTACTACGCGGCTTGCTAGCAGTGCTATGCACACACTCACGCATGCACGTGCGCATTAGCTCTAGCAATGGCTCTGTTGGCATCCCGCCAGTGCAGGGCCTCCTGTACTTTCTTGGACGTGCACTTAGGATGGGGCCACAAGCCCCGTGCAGCTCGTCTCAGGTTCTGCTCACCGTTAGCCGTCTTATGGCCACACTCCTCAGGGGCGAAATAAGGAGTCAGCAGCAGCCGTAGTCTATGCATCCTTGCCAGCAGCGGGTATGAGCAGCAGGACCCTCAGAAGCAGCAGTGGTGGCAGTGTGAGCAACACCACCAAGGAAATAATCAGGCGTTGGCGGTGCAGGGATTGGTCATGAGCACGGGTATGAGTAGGAGGGGGAAGAGGAGGTCATTGAAGGGAATATCTCTGAAGGCTTTCATCTGGGGGGCGCAAATTGAAGGCAGAGCTCGTTTGCCCTCAGTCAGCTTACTGAAGGCACCATGCTTTGTCAGTGAGCAACAGATGCCTTCAAACAATTGTGCCGTCGGTGAGCTGTCTGCCTTCAGTGAGGAGGGTGATGGGGGGCGTCACGCATCGTTGCGCGGAGAACGGTGAAGCGCATGCGAATGTAGTTTGGCAGAGTGGAGGCATCGCCGAGATTGTCATCGTGGTCGCAGAGGAGTGGCGCTCAGTGTTCGAAGGCGCCGTCCTCGAGCGGGGCGGCGAGAGATCGCGTTACGGCGAGTGGCGAGAGGACGAGAAGTGGAGAGAGAGAGAGAGAGGGAGAAATCGACCGACCGACAGACACAGACAGACACAGCAGACAAACAGACAGACAGGGAAGGGCTGGGGATCCAGTCGCTCTTCACGAAATAAAGATGCGTTCTCCCAGGAGTCACCCTGTATCCTGGCCTTTCTTTTCGTCACACCTGCACCAGGGGGTCCGACGAGCGCCATCTAAAAGTTGGTGCACCCTGGGCGCCCAATGCTGTGGTGCCCTGAGCCTGCATTCTCGTGATGGGCGGCGACGGTATGGTCGCAGGGTGAGCCCCGGAAGGCGTGAGCGGGACGGACGGTGACTGCCGCACCACGGAAGCTGGGCTGGGCCTCGGAACAGAGGGCCGGCTGCAAGGGCTCAGGGTTGGGTACGATTCGAAATGGACACGGAAAGAGTGGGTACGAAGACCGACAGCATGTCCCGAAGAAGAAAACATTGCACAAACATTCATTTTCGGAACAGGGAGGGGGGTTTCAGTGCAGATCCAAAAAATCCTCGCGGACCTCCAACAGTTTGTTCTTGCAGTTTGCTCTTCCTCTGAGACCTGTCCGTTTTGAACAGGAAGCGCTGCCGGTGTCGCCGCGGACGGTGTCCATCTGAGACACAAGTTTGCCTGCCCAACAGCCGCCGCTGTCGGCTTTGGACAACATGTGCTGTTGGGTGCCGTGCTCCTTGGCGTCGCTCGGACGTGTGCGCTCCTTCTCGGCGAGGACCATCGAGGCGCATCATGCAGCATCGAGCAACAAAAACACGCACGAGACCGACAAACATGCACAGGGAGTGGACGTCCGAGCGACGGCAAGGCCCATTCTTTCCGTACCCATCTCGGGCGCCCCAAAAGGGTAGTCCGAGCGCGTGCCACAGGAGGGGCGACGAGAGAGGCCGGCGGGGTCGAGGGGGGAGCTGGGGCGCCCTCCCCAGCCGGGCAGGGCGGAGGGGGGCCAGGGGGGAGGCGGCCAGGCCGCGTGCTCTGAGCGAGAGGGGCGCCTCCATGGATGCCGCTCAGGGGCCAGAATGTGGCCAGGGGAGACAGATCGGGGCTCAGGTTGGGCATGTCCTCCTCAGATTGAAAATACGTCAAAGATGCACCAAAATGGCTGCAAGCAGTCAAAAATCGTTCCCCGAGTATTTTTTCACTGTTTTCGAACATGCCTCCTATAGAGGGGCACGCCCGACTTAAATCGGTGCTCAAGGGACGGGGGTCAATGCAAGCGGGGGTCAGTCTGAGCGCCGGATCCTGCAGGATCCTGCAGGGCCAGGGGCGCACTGACCCGGGCTGGGGCGCAGCATCCTGCAGGATCTTGCAGGATCTTGCAAAGTCTAATTGGCCCAGGTCTGGATTGACCCAGGCCGGTAGATCCTCGAACAGGGATCGGGCGGGTGGTAATGGTTGGTGGCCTCAATAGGGGGGGAGGAAAGGGCCCTGCAGGGGCCCTTCGGGTCCCCTTTGGGGCCAGCAGGGGCCCGAGAGGGCGCCTTGCGGGCCTTTTTTCTTTACCCCCCATCTTCGGCCACCCCCTATTACCAGCCGAGAGAAGAGAGAGAGTCAGCCACGCGCAGAGGGGGGCAGGGGAGGGGAAGGCGTCTTAGAAGCATTCATGGTTCTTAGAAGGCGCGGGCCTCACCTGTACATGTAAGGGCGGCCTCTTCGCCTACCCCCTTGTGCGCGCCGCCAGGAGAGAGAAGGGGGGGTCAAGCAGCGGGAGCGCGAGAAAAAGGAGGAGCAGGGAAGTCAAGGAGAGTATGAGAACGGCGACGACGGCGACGACGGCGACGGCGACGACGACGACGGAGACAGCTACGGGGACGAGGACGATGAGGTGACGAGGAGATGGAGGAGGAGGATGAGGATGGGGTGCGGTGGGAGGACGAGGGGGGGAGCGCGGGGAGGAGCTGGAGGCGGAGGAGGAGGAGGAGGAATGAGCGCATGATCACAGACGAGGAGGAGAGAACGACGACGCCGCCGTCGTCGTCGACGACGACGACGGCAATGACAACGACAACGACGACGGCGGCGACAGCGAGGACAAGGACAAGGACGAGGACGAGAACGAGAACGGGAATGCGTTGGAGGAATTTGCGGAAGGAGGAGAGAATAGCGCAGGGAGGAGGAAGAGGAGAAGCGAGGAAGGAGGAAGGACGATGACGTTGGTAGAGGGGAGGGAAAGCAATGATGAGGGATGGAGAAACGACGGGGCACGGAGGACCAAGGACGGGGGACGGAGACAGGGCGGACGAGCAGGACGAGGAATGATGTGATCAGGAGGAGATGAGATGAGCACGTCGAGGGGATGACCAAGAGAAGCAGCAGCAACAGGGAAGGAGGAGGAGACGAAGGAAGAGGATGAGGAGTGACGAGGACAGCGAGAAGAAACAGTACGAGGAGGGGGAAGGTGAAGGGTGAGGAGGTCGAGGAGCGTGAGGAGAATGAGGCGGAAGAGCAAGGAGTGAGAGCGGTGGGAGAGGGAGTCGGGCGAGGCTGTCTGGCTTGTTATGCACCCTCCTGCTTGCATTCTTCTGCTTTTCCGCGTCGTCCTCTGCCCGTGTTCTTCGGTGCACGTCCTCCGGTCAGCACGCGACGCGCTGCCTCACCTTCTGACCTGATTGCGGCCCTCCCTGCCAGACCACATTGCGGCGCGCGGGGGAGCGAAGCAAGTCATCAAGTACACCGGCGGCGGCGCCGAGCGGCAAGACTCGGTGTGCAACGGCCTTGCTGAGCTCACCACCGAGTAGCGGGGAGTCCCAATTGCTTTCTGGGATCTTGCCTTCCTCTTGCACATGCGAGTTAGTGCAGGGGGTCTTCCAGCTTCTGGCGGACATCCCACGGCTTGCGTCCCAGGGGAAAAAGTTGTGAGTATCACCAGGAATCGTCGTACGAGCATGTGTCCTCGGAAGTGGTTTGACCTTGATTGGTTTCGCCCTCTCCTTTGTTCATGCCCTGAAAGGGTGCGAACGTACTCCCGTGTGTCAAATGTTGACACTTCGTGTATCCCGACCGCCGGAAAAGTTGAGCAGGCGAGTTCTTGCAACCAGGAAGGTGCAGGAGCAACCAGTAGAACGACGAGGGGGTCAGGTGTCAAAATGAAGCCCGGGATCAGTCTGAGCAGACGTAGGAGTCAAGCAATACATGTTGCAGTGGATTCGAAAAGCTTCCAGGAGGCTCCTTGGCGCCACCTTTGAGCACTCTTGGGGCAATTTTGGAGGCCGTAGGGGCTCTCGTGGGAACCTCTTGAGGTCCCAATGGGGCATTCCTGGAGTACATTGATCAACACATGGGGAGGTTTTGATTCGATTCGCCTTCTCAGATCCAGGCAAATCGTCTTTGGGGGCCTTCTCGGGGCCCTCTTGGGAACATTTGGGGCCGTCTTGGAGCCCTTCTGGGCCCCTCTTGGGGCTTTCTGCTCGCAATATTCTGGGCATCTTGCGGCTTTAGGAGCCCATCCAAAGCGAGCACACTGAGACGATGACTTACGTAATTGAAACGCATGCTCATGTAAGCTCTGGGATACTGGGAGGCCACTTCTGTCGGTCCTGTGGCGGTCTGGGCATGGTGGACGCTAATTGCTTGACTGTCCTGAGTCCGAATGGACAAGGTACGTTGCGCGATCGGAGAAGCCAGATTGGACTACCCATGGCAATCAGAGATGCTCTCTGCCGTATTGGACGCCCGCGCCCTCGGGAAGCCACGGTGTCCAGACCCGGGGCAGGGGGAGGGATAATCCCGCGAGGGGGAAAACACAGACACAATGAATCGTCGATTTCCCGGAAAAGTATAAGAACATACGGGACGTGGGGGGGTAGACGAAAACCCAGAGAATACAGGAAAAGAGGGGACATCCTGGGATTTGTGTGTATTTGCTTGCGTGTGTCCTGGGACCCCTTCGCAATCCTCTCCCCGAAGGCTTGAGCGGATGCCCTGCCGTCGAGGCCGAGCAGCAGGCCGGCCTTGGCCGAGGCAAGGCACCTCTGTGTCCTGTGTTTCGCGGCCCATGCTGTGTACCTTCCTGTCGCGGTGTGGCCTTCGAACTGGTCTTGTGTGGAGGGTTTCTCCGAAGGACTTAGGCGACCCGTCCTCCTCTCTCCTCCTCCTCCCCCTCCTCCTGCTCCTGCTGCTCCTCCTCCTCCCCCTCCTCCTTCTCCTCCTCCTCCTCCTCATCTTCCTCCTTGTTCTGACGAAAACCCGCGAGCAAACAACAAACAAAAACTCATCCTCTCCCTCCTCCTCCTCCTCCCCCTCCTCCTCCCCCTCCTCCTCCTCCCCCTCCTCCTCCTCCTCCTCCTCCTCCTCCTCCTCGTGTCACCTACGGCCCCATGCCTTCTACCTTTAAGTCGGGCATGTCCTTCTACAGGAGGAATATGAAAAAATAGTGAAGAAATAGTCTGGGGACGATTCTTGAGTAGTTTGTTTGACATGTTTGAGATATTTTTTTGTTTTTTGTTTTTTTCGCCCAGCATCCGCCTGTAGGGGGACATACCCGACATACTGATACCTTCCTGTGACAACGTGGCCTTCGGACGGGTCTTGTGTCCTGTCGCGTGCCATCTCCAAGCAACCCTGATTGTAAACCGCCTACGCCCAGAGGGCTGGTGGGACGCTTCTGCCAGCAGGCAGAAAAGGCGAGCCGCGGCGTCGGGCACAGCAAGTTCCATCAATATGATCGCATAGCGGTCCGTTCCCCATCCCCTTTTCTCCATCACTCCCATAATCCCAGTCCGTTGCAGGCGCCATCCAGCGGCCAGCATTCGCAGGATTCTTCGTCAGTGTTCGTCGGATTGGGTTGCCATCGTCGGATGTTAAAGAGCTCGCTGAGGGCTGGCTTACAGACTACGGCGCTACCGCCCCGCTTGACGTTCTGTGGCTCGAATTACAGCCCAGAGACCCCTCGACTTGTCAGCTTACATGCATGCGTGTCTGATATCGTGCTCGCGGGATGCGGTCGCGTCCCCGCGGCTAGAAGACGTTCGGGAAGATGGTTGGCTTGTTCACGTCTAGGCTGCGGTTCGTGTGGACGAAGTCAATCACATGATTGGAGAAGGAGGAAGGGATGTTGGCTTGGCCACGCGTTGCACGAGCGCCTGCATGGAAGACAAAGCTGAGACCCATGCAAGAACGCATGCCTGACCAGCCTCCCCACTAGTCGAGTCCCCAAGGTACGCCGCCGTGCACGACGCCGCCCGGCCGCTTGTCACCGCGGCCGTCCCGCCCCTCCTCTTGACGACCGTCCTCTCGATCTCTCGCTTGCGGGGGGAGGATAGAACAGAGAGCGATCGACAGTTCTGGGCGACAGATCCAATACGAGCGTTTACCAAGTGCCCAGACATGCCTCGCTCGATTACGGAAGACGCTTGCAGCGAATCACCGCCGCCCCATGTTTTTTTGGAAGCGCCTATGTGGCAGAACGTTGTTGCCAGAGCTCGGCCAAGCTATCGAACTGGGTGTACCCCAAGCCGTTGCGGAAACCCTTCGGGGAGCACGTGGGGGAGAAACAAGAAGAGGAGGAGAGGGATGAAAAAGGATGAGGGGGCTTCTTGGGAGCCTCTTGGGTCTCTCTTGGGGTCTCCTCGGAGCTCCCTCAGGGCCTCTTCGAGGCAGCTCGGGGGCCTCCTTGGGCCTCTTGGAGACCTTCGGGGGTTTCTTGGGGACCTCTTTGGCCATCTTGTGGCGTTCCTGGCCCGTCTGACGCCGTCGGAAGCAGCCTTGGGGGCCACTCTGGACCGTCTTGGAGCCTTGCCGAGGCGCTTCAGGGCCGTATTGGAGGCCAAAACGAAGCCATTGCCGAAACGAAGAAAATGTCACAATCAGTCAACAGAACATTGGTTTGGGCCTCTTGGGGCCTTCCTAGAGGACCTCTTAGAAGCCTCTTTGGCCATCTTGACGGCTTCTTAGGGGTCTCTTGGAGACACCTTGCCGCTATATTGGGCTCGTTTGGAGCCATCTCGGCTGTCTTGGAGGCCATCTTGGCCGTCTTGGAGGCCAGGCCAATGGAGGCCGAAGTTTGTGTGGCTCTCCAGGTGGCCGGCGGGTTGGGCCGAAGGCCCCTTGGGCACCTTTAAAACAGGGCCAGAAATTACCGAACGTCCAGCACGACGCGTACTTCTGTGGCAAGCCAACAGGGGGCGGCGGATCGACGACGCCTACGGCGAACCACCGCCGCCCCCTGCTTCTTTGGACGCGACGCGCCTATGCACTACGTGTTCCCCCAGCCGTTGTGGAAACCCTTTGGGGAACATGCGGAGGAGAAAGGGAAACGGAGTAGAGGGAGAATAACGGAGAAGAAGGAGGAGGAGAATGAGGGTTTTTTGGGGAGCCTTTTGGGGCATTCTTGGAACCTCCTGGGAGCTTCCTGGAGGCCTCTTGGAGGCTTCTTGGGGGCCTCCTTGGGCCTCCTGGGGTCCTCTTGGGGCTTCTTGAGGTCTTATTTGGCAGTCCTGGGGCGTTCCTAGTCCATCGTACGCCGTTGGAAACCGTCTCGGGGGCCTCTCTGAACCAACTGGGGCCCTCTTCGGGCGCTTCAGGGTAGTCTTGGAGGTCATCTAGGGCGTCTTGAAGGCCTCTTGGGTCCGTCTTGGGGGCCTCTTGAGCCGTCTCGGGGCCATCTTCGAGGCCTCTTGGGCGCTCTTGGGGCGATCTTGGGGGCCTTGGGCCGTTTTGGAGGCCAGCTTGGGCGTCTAGAAGGTCTCTTGGGCCGTCTTGCGGGCCTCTTGGGCCGTATTGGGGCCATTTTGGAGGCCTCTTGGGCGCCCTGGGGGCGATCTTGGGGGCATCTTGGGCCGTCGGGAGGCCGAAGCGATGCGAATGCCACAATCTTTCCAAAACCGACGTGCAATCAATGATTTGGGCCTCTTGGGGCTTTCCTGGAGGACCGTTTGGAGGCCTCTTTGGCAATTTTGGAGGCTTCTTAGGGGTCTCTTGGGCCGTCTTGGTGACGTCTTGCGGCTATCTTGGGCTCGATTAGAGCCATCTCGGCTATCTTGGAGGCCATCTTGGTCGTCTTGGAGACCATCTTTGGGCAGTCTGCGGGAGGGAGGCCAATGGAGGCCGAAGTTTGTGTGGCTCTCCAGGTGGCCGGCGGGTTGGGCCGAAGGCCCCCCCTGGGCACCTTTACAAAGGGCCAGAAATTACCTGACGTGTACCAGGACGCGCACCCTTGTGGCAAGCGGACAGGGCCCCGCATGTGCATCCGAGAGGCCGGCGACGGCGACAAGCCTGCCGTCTCGCTTCCGTCGAACCGCCGGATGTCTGGGGAGTCCCATCCATGCGGCAGCTCGGCGGGTGGCTCACCAGCCAGGAAGAGAAAATGGGCACAGACACCAACAAACGTCGATTACCAGGGACATATGGAAAAGATGGGACGCGGAGGGGAAGACGAGCACCAAGAAAGTATTCGTCCACATGTAACTGACATGTCTGACTGGCAGAATAGCTAGGCACAAATCCCAGGTTCCCCTTAGGGACGAATAGACACATGTAACGTACATGACTGTAACTTACATGTACACCAATTTGACGAACAGATAGACACACATCCGAGGATTCCCTTAGGGAGTCCTGGGACTAGTATATGATATACCCGGTGACGGGGTTCCCTGGCCCGGGGGCGGCCCACTTTTCCAAAACTCCCCCCCCCCCGGGTACCCACTGTGTCCCTGGGGGTCTGGGACCCATTGGGAGTTTTTTGGGTCGCTTTCAGAGGGGCTCTCAGAACCCGAAGGCGCTCCCCAGACGGTCCAAGAAGGTTCCGGCACGGTCCAAAAGTATTCCATAGCGTCCGCGCTGGCTTCAAGACAGCCCAAGACGGCCCAAGAGCGCTCCAAGACGGCCCAAGAAGCCCCCAAGACGCCCCAAGAGGCCACCCAAGAGAGCCACAAGAAGCAAAAATCGTCCCATTCCTTTCGGAAAACGTATATTTTTAGCATATTCGCCTCTTGCGTGTTCACAGCGTCCACGACGGCCCAAGAAGCTCCCAAGACGGCCCAGGAGGCCCCCAGGAGGGTTCCAAGACGGCCCAAGAAGGGCCCAAGACGGCCCAAGAGACCCCCTAGACAGCCCCAGAGAGCTTCAGGATAGGCCCCAGAGGGGTCCCAGAGCGGGACAACCAAGTTCAAATTTCGAGCCTTCGACCCCAAGAGGCCCCCAGGAGGCCCCAAGAGGCCCCCAAGAGGGCCCCAAGAGGCCCCAAGAAGCCCGAAGGGGCCCCCAGGGGACCCGAAGAGGCCCCAAGAGGCCCGAAACCTGCCTCCAATACAACCCCGAGAGGCCTCCAAGATGCTTCCAATACGCTCCCCAAGAGGCCCCCAAAACTGCCTCCAAGATGCTCCAAAACGTTTACGTTTAAACACAAATTCTGGAGACCAACTGGTTTTTCATTTAATCGCTTCGCTCATTCCGCCGGCCCCCTGCTGGTGCGCTTGTGGAGCGCTCTGGGGGACCCTCCCGGGAGGGGGGTGGCAGTGCAGAGGCGATGATGACGTTGACGATGTGCCTAGCTAGAACCTAAGCGCGCGCGAAGCGCGCGCGTGGTTCTAGTGTCTATGTATAGCGGAGTCCCCGAGGAGGAGGAGGAGGAGGAGGAGGAGGAGAAGGAGGCGGACGAGGAGGGCGCGAACGGAGGAGGCGGACGAGGATGGGGCCCAGGGCGTTCAGGGGAGGGAAATGGAAGGGAATGGCCAGTGGTCACAAGGATGGTGAATCAAAGCAGATTGACTATAGCGAGCAGTCCGAGGCTTCGTCTTCACACGGAGCCCACCCACTGTCGGAGCTCGCATTCCGCTGTGCTGCCTGGTCAGGGGAGGGAGGGGAGAGACGGATCAATGATGATGAGCAGAAGGAGGGCGGCGCAGAGGGCCAGACGGAGGGGGGGAGGAGGAGAGCGAGGAGGAGGAAGAGGAGGAGGAGGACGACGACGAGGAGTGGGGGGGGGGCAAGCTAGGTGCGCTCGCGTCATATCTGACGTCCTACCCCTCCCTTCCATCTCTTACCATGGCGTAGATCTCCTCCCTATTCGCACAATCGGATGTCGTAGTATGGCATACCATTATATGGCATAGCATGGTGTCGAAGATCAACGCGTAGCATGACATAGCATGGCGTGCCGACGCCCTAAGGTGGGGGGTGGGCTTCTGCGGCCTAAGAAAAAAAACCCGGGGACGTACCCAACCATTTGTACACATGAGGCGATTCTACATCGAACCGCTCAATCCAAAAGCATGCACTGAAGGATCAGCCTTGCTCTTGAACGCTTCGCCAATGAACGTTGGGCCAGAGTCAAATGTTTCACATTCGCGGCATCACTGTTAAGAGTCAGATCGTTGGCAGGACGGCGGCCACGAGGGGTCGTGGAAACATACTGATGAACGGGGGAATTGGAGACATGCTTCGTGGGAGTAACAGCGCATCGCGCCAGCTTCTCATTGCAGAACAGCGCCGTGCGCGCTATGACAGAGCAGCGCCCTGCGCTCAGCGCTGCGAGTGCCCGAGTGCACTGCGGACAAGAGGCACTTGAAGACTCGATGCGGCATGGGCGCATGACAGCTCCATGCGCTCCGTGGGGCCCCATCCCGCTGCGATCTGCTATCAAATAGCGCAGGGAGGTTTCATGGTGGCCCCCGTGGGACACACCTCCGCTGGACCTTCCAGGAGCCAACGAAAGTGGCGACAGCTTCGCAAATCGCGGACGGCGAGGTCTCGTGGTGATCGGCGTGGGACGTACCTCCGCTGGGTCCCCCAGGAGCCCACGAAAGTGGCGACAATTTCGCAGATCGCAGTCCCCAGCGGACGGCAAGGCCTCGTGATTTTTTGCGAAGGACGTACCTCCGCTGGGCCTCCGAGGAGCCCACGAAAGGGGCGGCAGCTTCGCAGATCGCAGCCCCCCAGGGGACGGCGAGGTCTCGTGGCGATCTGCGTGGGGCGTACCTCCGATGGTCCTCCCAGAAGCCCACGAAAGCGGCGACAGCTTCGCAGATCGCAGCCCCCAAAGGACGGCAAGGTCTCGTGATTATTACGCGCAATTCCAGTGCCTTCTTTCTCCTGGCTCTCCTCCTTCGTCTCCTCCTCACCGATAGGGGTGTCGTTTACCCGGCCGGCTACTTTAAGTCACGGCCGCTATCGAGTTCACGCCTTGATCCAACGGGTGCAGTGATAGCCCCCATGAGGGGCAGCGGATTTGATGTTGGATGGGCATCGTGGGCTGCGGT